CAGTATGCACTTCGGACTCTGCAGTTGTTGATCGATTGGTGACCACTTAGGGGGATCGCATAAGTGAATTCAATAGTATTTCTACCTTTATGCAACACAAAAAGCTGCAATCAACCGCCATATCCGTTCCAGTCAATCATCACACGTAGTCGCAGGGAGGGTTCGATCCCACGATCAGAAACTGTATCACGGTGAGCACTACTACAGGGAGACAGCGAGAAGAGCACCCAACCAATATGACAATAAGAGCATAAACTCGCGACGATGCAGAGTTTTTCCGGATAGTAATCTGAGGGCATATAGGACCTTTTCGACTCTGCTGTGGATGTGATTGCAGTCAGATGCATCCGTGTTTGACCACGATTGCAGTCCCATACATGTAGAAAAGTGATAGTGTGAGTATGCCTTGCCTTGGTAGTGCCTATAAGGTAAGTCAGGTACAAGCGATCAGGAAAGCCGACTGGAGGCTTGCCCTCAAAACGCATGAGCGTAGTGACATTCAAGACGACTTTTGCACGAGATACAGCGATCGTGAGCTTGCCTCCCATTTGCACAGACCCGTTTCTCCCCAATAGAACATAAGGTCAATATCGCTGTATATAGACTGAAAGTTGCCCCAAATACAGGTACAACGACCGTACGTTCAATTCGGGGGAAAACGGGGGAAAGTACTAAAACCTCGCTCCAACCCTGACGCAAAAGTTTTTCCTACCAGCAAACCACACCACCACTCTCCTATCGCCACACTAGAATGCACGGTCACTATAACTGAATTTGGGGCAACTTCCAGCCTAGATACAGCCACAATGACCGTACAGAACGATGCTTCTATTCGCGGGAAGACGGTAGTCGACCACACTAAGTATGGTTCTCTAAGTCCAGCACACTCTTCCTGGCAAACGTGGTAGAATGCTACCATCTTCCACCAAACACAACGCACCCTCATTTTGACTGTATGGGGCCGTAAATGTACCTTGTATACGTTCATTTTCAGGGTGCGTTATGTTCGGGAGAAGACAGTAAGGCACTCTCGAGCCATCTTGCTTTCTTCAATATCCGTTGGATTGGAACCACGCCCATGTCTCTAAATAACTTAGTTTCAAAATCCTAATGAACCCGAAGCTATATAGTCAAACGCGGCCACGCTCCCACTCTTCCCACAAAACACGGATCTATACCTTTCTCAGCCTTTGGCTATAAGATTCAAGTGCAGGATCTGTTCTGATCAGTTTGATATATGATCCGTGGTCCATTGGGCAATATTAACCAAAAAAAAAAAAAAAAAGCGGTTCCACTCAACATAACCAATCGGTTTACTTTCATTCATATCCCCTCCGCCGGATCCTGCCGCTCGAAAGACCCCAACCCCCCCCCCCCCCCCCTCCCCTCTGGGGTACATAACGACATGTGATAGGTGGAGGGAAGTTGAACCCTCCGCCCAGCCACATCGCCAAGCACACCGCAGGACCCACCTTCACGTACCCATCGCCTCTGCTCGCAGATTGGCACAAAGACGTCTAGTACAGTTGAGCAAATCGTCTCATATCGTCACACATCGTCGCACAGCACACGGCCCATACCCAGAATCCCTCACCCGCAGCCGATCCATGGAAAGCAACAATCGCTTGGACTTACAAACACCCATCGACAAATTCCCACATCGTCACACACTGTGACGCACCCAGACATCGTCACACAACACGGCCTAGAGTCCCTGACCCCCAGCCGATCAATGGAAAGCACCAATCGTTTGGACTAACAAACACCCATATCGACAAATTCCCACATCGTCACACACTGTGACGCAACCTCTTTCACCCCTCGACACGGTCACAGCACGGTGCGCTTACTACACACCACACCGCACTGTGCGACACATTTACATATCGTCCCACCTCGTCGCTCGTCCCACCTCGTCGCACAACGTCCCACATCGTCGCACACATCGCCACACATCATTACACATCATCGTGCCGCACTCATTGGGCGGCAAACCCTAGAATCACAACCGATCTCTTCCCCGCCCATCGGCCGCCATTTCTTCGCCCTGGGAATACACCCCTTAGGGTCTCAGATCCCCCCACTACCCTCGATTGTTCATTTTTCACCTTCAATTACGAAGATCAACGGTCAGAAATTAACAATAGGGGCTAGTGGGATGTGGCCCTTATTCCGCAATAGATATCTTTCCTCCGTCCGCTCGCAGGCCCGGCCTCCCTCGGTCATTCTCCCATAATAATTATTCACTAATTCGCAGTAAAACAACAGATTGACCGTCCCTCCGTTCAATTTTCCCACTTGTAAATCGTCAGTCAGTCATGTGGTCGATTTCGACGGCTGTGATTGCTGCACAGAGACGGATGGAAAAAGCCCCAGGATGCCGTTGTCCTGTAACGGCAAGACCCTGACAGGTGAGTCACGGTCACAACTTTCAGACCAGACTGTTCCAACGAACCACAAAAAAAAAAGAAAAAAAAGAAAGAGAAGTCGCTGATTGGCAAATATAACCTTTCGATGAAACGTAAAAAAGAAAAAAAAAAGCTGCAAAAAAAAAAAAAAAGTCCTACGCGTTTACGTCGGTCTTGCCGGGAGGGTCACAACAACAACAACAACAAAAAAAAAAAAAAAAAGGGGGGGGGCGAACTCCTTAGGGTCGCGAGAGCATACACTTTTTATTTTCCCCCCTTAGGCACACACACTTAACGCGCTCCCGAAACCTAATTAAAAATAATAATAATAATAATAATAATAATAATAATAATAAAATAACAATATAATAATAATAATAAAATAACAATATAATAATAATAATAAAACATAATAATGATAATAATAATAATATAATCATAATAATAATATAATAATCATAATAATAATAATAAAGAATAAGACAAGATGCGCCCGCCGCCAACACGACAGCGCTCCTGAAGAAAAACTCCAACTCAAAACCACTAATGCAAGTCGAACCAGATGCGTCCCGTTACCCCGAAAAAGAACCCCTCCCCCTCAATTACAAAAAAAAATAAAATAAAATAAATAAATAAATCGAACCACAATTTTGATTTTCGACAGTTTGTCTAACTCCATATACATATATATACACACAAGCCTCACGCAACAATTCAATCGAAAGACGTGCACCCCCCCTTACTAACAACAACAGATTTTCTTTTTTTAATAATAAAGTAATAAAACTTTTGCACCATTTCTCGATTAAAGAGTGTCATCCTTGTGCAGGGGCCATGCTACTGATCTTTTCTCTCTCTATTGTCCCAATCCTTTTAACGGATATCCCGAAGGAGACAACCTTCTCTTGCCCGGACTACGGTAGTAAGCACTGCATTTCGTTTGAAGCCAAGCTGCACGACTTTGATTAGACTACCGTTGTAAATTGACTTCACAACTTCTTTTTGCATAGGGTAAGATATAGCACATGTAGACAGAATCGAAATAAAATACAAAGCTGACGGAATGTGTGCGTAAATGCAGTTAGATGCATCTAGGGTTATGGTACCGTTTAGGGCGTACGGAAATTACTCCCCCCGCCTTTTTGGCCCTCCGATCGATCTAGTGTGGTTATCGAACCACCGAGCTCGGTATCCGGACCTTCGCCGGCTCAGAAAATTTTGTCTGACCTGAAAAATTGTCATCAATCAATCAATCAACCAATCACATACGATTTCATAAAATTGGGTGGGACCTGAACTTTATCAGCAAACAATCGATCAATCACCATACGATTTCATACCGCGTGGGCGCTCGCTCAATCAATCAATCAATCACATGCGAATCACATGCGATTTCATACCGCGTAGGCGCTCGCTCAATCAATCAATCAATCAAACAATCATTCACAGCAAAGGAAATCAATCAACAGCAAACAAACAAAAACAAACAATCAATCATTCACGGCAAAGGTAATCAGTCAACAGCAAACAAACAATCGATCAAGCAATCAATCAAACAAGCAAACAAACAATCAATCACAGCAAAGGTAATCAATCAGCAGCAAAGGCAATCAATCAAACCCGTGCACTAACAAACGTACAATCAAGTACCCGGCGGTTGACGTGATTCAGAAATACCGTACCTCTAGGGCGCTCGCTCAATCAATCAATCAATCAATCAATCAATCAACCAATCAATGAATCAATCACAGCGAAGGTAATACCCGGCGGTTGACGTGATTCAGAAACACCGTACCTCTAGGAAAGGTGATTGGACGGAGCGAAAAAGTCAAAGTCAACGTCAGCCGAAGTCAAAGCTGACGTCCAATAGAACATATCCTAACCGAACCACGACTGAGGGCATACTCAATACGATGCATCAGCCCGCAATTACAGCAAAGATTCTGTCCGAAAAAGTGCAAGTGTGAATACGCCAAGATTCAGAATTACAGATTGAGAAAGAGAGAGCAAACAAAGATAAGATACTGTACCTATTGATCTCCACCCTCTCTCCGCCCCCC